AGATACGATTATAAAATGAACATCAAGAAAGGAAATCACGAATTTCCACACCTCCAAGCGGAATATAGGGGTTCAAAGCCTGTATTGAATTTCGTCAGTTTTGAAGTTGGAAACCTTAAGTTTTGGGTAAATAAAAAAATATTGTAACTATTTGTTTAAAATGGTCTGTCACGAAACTTAATGTGACACACCAAATTCTATGCAGGAGAAGCCGTGAGCAGCAACTAGTAGATAATAAGACAAGAAAAATCTACCATGTTCGAATATGTTGATTAAATCAAATTCTCCGTCCAGAAATACTGTTGGTAGATAAATTTGAAGGCCGATTGGGCATTAAACGAATTTAATATCGACGCGGATATCTCACATCTTATCACTCCGAATATTCATAGGTGATAAAAAGAACTGAGTAATGCAAAGAATGAATCTAAATATCACATGCGCAAGGCATGTTGTTTGAATATATTACTAACCTAAGCGTGCTTTCCAAAAAGCAAAATATATTAATAACAGGATTTAACTAATGAGGTTCGGAGATAATATAATTATGAGTAAAGTGGGATATTACTTTGTAAATAGCCTTAACAAAATTTCAGAGTTGTAAGCAATTGAAAAAAAAAATTAAACAAAAAAATTTGAATTTGAACGATTAAAATGAAATAAAAATTGAAAATTAAAGATTTCAAGCGAAGTTACTTCTGCAATAAGTTGGATATTTTTCATTGAATTTTAGATACCAATATAAAAATGGAACCTTTATCAGCTTTCAGAAATAACCTTAAGGTCAACAGAGCCAAGCCATTTAAAGGGAAAGTCGTTGAAATCAACTGCTTGTTGCTAAGAAATTCGATATTTGAAACATTCAACCTCATCATACATTTCATTATCACGACGTTAAGGGTCGAAAATATATTATTCAGTCTGTGTACCCACCCCATTTAGAATAACAGTCAGAAAGTACTTGAACGTATAATAAATATCGAAATTTATGTTATGAGTTCAAAGGTTTGACATGATAAAATTAAGGCATCCGAGATAGTCTACATACCTCTTCAAGACAGCGAAAATATCAAAATAACCCTTGCAGTGACATCTATATATCAGTAGCAGGCTCAGGACATTAGAAATACCGGAAAACAGTCAGTAATTCTTGCGGACTTATTCGCTGGACATGTAGAGGACGTTAAGAGTACCAGTCTTAGAAACAATTTCAGACTTTTGGATTGGTGGGAATTTTTACGAGATTATTTGAATTACATCCCTTGACAGAGTTAAGTTTCGAAATTCTTGAGGGAGCTTTGAGTGAGTTGAAATATTGAGATATTTCAAGTCATCGTTTCGAGAAGTGATATTGGTATTTGGGAGTTTGTCGCGTTTTATTTGGCTAGCTGACTTGAGGTAAAAGTCAGGAGCTTACGAACTCAGAAGTAGGTCGGTTGGACTTCCTACAGAGTTGTGAAAATATCGAGAGAATTCGCGAAGTATTGGGTTTTGATTATTATTCGCGAAGTGATTGGGTTTTGATTATTATTCGCGGTCTGATTCAGTTTAGCTGATCTAGAGAACATTTTCGAGTTCCTGGTAACAGTTTGGGATTTATAGCCGTATCATTTTACAATTTTCAGGAGAATTAATGAGTAATTAGCTAAAACACATTCTTTGTTAATTATTTATTTGATGGAAATGGTGGCTTCATTTATTACTATATCGCAAATATTCTCTTTTTGGCATATCCAACATATTCTCTTTTTGGCATATCCAACATGCTAGATATTTTTTTCAAGAGCTACCTCACATTAAAGAAGAATTATCAAAAGCAGTTCAGAATTAAAGAAGATATGATTTTTTTTTAAACACCGAGCTTTTGAAGTTATCCCCACTCCTGCGCCCCACCCGTCTACGCAGTACCCCACAAAGTTCAACGTTCATATTCACAGTTCAAAATCGCGTTTTTTACAAAATTTTCTACTAGTTTTTATAAAATTTTCAGCCCTCATTGTATTCATGAAGAAGTGGTGAATTTAAAAATATCTTGACCGATGGAGCTAGAACATTCTTTTTTTTTAATGTATGTTTTCATACTAACTATAAGAATGTGTTGGTGGCAAAGTGACAGTTTAAAAATTCGCAAAGTTATGTGCAAAAAACCCGCTTCGATAATAATATACCTTTTTTGGCGTCATTTTGGGGGTCAAAGAATAAAGAAACCGATGTTCTGTTTCGAGGATCGTGAAATTTAAAGACTTTTACCACCCCACCTCCACTTAGTTACTCTAGATTCGACTTTGAGTTTAAAGATATTCTTAATGGCAAAATTTGAAATGACTCCCAATATATTGAAATTACTTTAGTGTCATCAACGGTTCTATGGGTCATTTCTACAAAACAAAACTGATTGCCTTATTTGTCAGATTAATTGTCATTTTGCTTTCAGTGTCCACCTCTTGCCACTCAATTTGTTGTTAATGTCAGCTTGGGATTCTACCAAAGCGTAGAAGGACCACAAAAATCCAAAATATTTTTTTATAATTCACACTTTCCATATTCTCTGTTTCACTATACTGTCGTCATGTAAATTAATAATATCTTTATTTTCACCATTAATATGGAAGTGTCCAATTTCCATATAGTCTTTCAACTAAAATTAGTTGTCCATACTTTTCAGCAATATTCTCAAGGGCATACACTTTTTCAAATGTTTTTGTCTGTAAAACTTCAAGTAGTTGGTTTTTGGTATAGCAATCTTCAAAATACAAATTGATATCTATTAAAAAACTTTGTATCTCATCTTTCCACGAATTTTCATTCGGTACTTTGATGAGCTGTCGCGAATGAGGAAGCGTTGTCAAGAACTATTACACTATTCGCATCCAAATTTGGGATCAATGTGTTTTCAAACCATTCCATGTTCTTATGATAGTCAACATTGCAGTTTTCAAGTTTTTTTCAACATAATTTCAAAGAATTCGGAACCCA